ATGAACATGATGTAGTCTTCTATGTAATTGATTTTAAAGATTTGTAAGTTAATGATTTAACAACATCAAAAATCTAAAAAATGGTAGAATATTCGATCATGTTAACCCTAAACTCGAACTTCTTTTAGGGTAAAGTAGCCTTTTGAAATCAATAACCTAACTCAAAAAATTCAACTGGATATGAAAAAGGATCCGTTCACCACTTGATTTCAGAGAAAATATCTTATAGAATAATGTATCAAAGTAATTATGTCACAATCGCAAAAAGTTTAAATCAAGCATTTGATTTTATCATGTGATATATGAATTCTTCCAAGTTTTAAAAGTTTTTGAAAGGAGAAGAGAGCTTGCTTTTGGTGGGCTCATTTTATGCCTCTTGTCAATTTGAATGGCGCTTTGCGCTTCTTTTTTGATACACTTTGTGTATATATTTATTTTTAATTTGGCATCATTGCGCATCTTTAGATTTTGGCATCATTGGCCACTTTCTTTTTGGAAGCTACATTCTCTTTCAAAAACTCTTAAATAATCTTAGTTGTGAGTATATCTTCTAGATGTTAGAGACGAAAAACTCACTCTCTAATATAGAGAAGAATAATCCACAAAATAGAATCAATAATCATATGAAATAATTGCAATAACAAGAGTAACGAGGAACTCTTGATGTGACAAAAGACTTTGATCATTATACATACAAGATAGATTTGTTGTAGCAAGGATAGAAAAGATCTTAATTACATACTCCATTTGTTAATTTGAGATATAATATTGATTAGAAAACAAAATTGTTCCACTAAAATATGTTAGAGAAAGAGACACAATCAACGGTATATTTCTACCCTTTAATGGATTAAGAGATGTAAAACATTGATTACAAATTTTTAAAAGCAAGAACAAGGCATACGATATCATTTCAGCGATGATTAAAAAAGTATAAAAATAACACAACAATTAAAAAAACTTAAAGAAATAAATTAAGAAAAGAAGAAGAAAGAAAAAGACAAGCAAAGAAGAAGAACGAAAAAGAAAAGCAAATAAAAATTAAGTTCATGCATTTATGTCAATCACACCCAATCTAGTCCTTAAAGAGCTAAAAGTGTCGAAGGCTAGTGGTTTAGTAAAGATGTTAGCCAGTCAATTCTCAGTTATCACATGGTGTAACTCAATGTCCCCCTTTGTCACATGGTCTCTAATAAAGTGATGTCTAATATCAATGTGCTTAGTCCTTGAATGTTGGATAGGATTCTTAGAGATGCAGATGGCACTAGTATTGTCACAAAAAATTGAGATGGTGCCTACAGGTAATCCTAAATCTAATACTTGTTATTTCAACCAAAGGACTTGGGCCACACAACTTCCTAAGGCCATGTACTCAGCTTCAGCAGTGGAAAGTACAACCGAGTTTTATTTTCTACTAGACCATGAGATTAAAGATTGTCCTATGAATTGACAAGTTCCATAAGTGCTTTTTCTATCAACCTTACATCATGCAAAATAAGAGTCATAAAATCCAAAAATCTCAAAAGAAGTGTTGTTCCTAGGGTACCAAATTCCTAATCCTTGGGTCCCCAAAAGGTATTTAAAAATTCTCTTAACTGCAGTAAGGTGGGATTCCTTAGGATTAGCTTGAAATCTAGCACAAAGACAAACACTAAACATTATATCAGGTCAGCTAGCTGTCAAGTAAAGTAAATATCCAATCATGCCTCTATATTTCTTCTGATCAACAGACTTACCACTTGGGTCCTTATCCAACGGAACATTAGAAGTCATGGGAGTATTAATTGGCTTGTCTTTATCCATCTCATAATTCTTCAAAATGTACTTTATATATTTTGATTGATTTAGAAAGGTTCCATAATCTAATTATTTTATGTTAAACCCCAAAAAGTAGGATAACTCTCTCATCATACTCATCTCAAACTCTTTACTCATTATTTTAGAGAATTCATCACAAAGTTTCTTATCAGAAGATCAAAAAAGTATGTCATTCACATAAATCTGAACAATGAGCAAATCATCGCCAACTTTTCTAAGAAAAATGGTGGTGTCTACGCTCCCTTTAAAAACTCCCTTTCTAGTAAGAATGTGCGAAACCTCTCATACCAAGCTCTGGGTGACTGCTTAAAAATATATAGGGCCTTTTTTAATTTAAAAACATGATTTGGAAATTGGGAACTCTCAAAACCTGGGGGTTGTTCTACAAACACATCTTCTTTTATTTCCCCATTTAAAAAGGCACTCTTAACAACCATTTGAAAAAGCTTAAATCCTTTATAACAGGGAAAGGCTAATAGCACTCTTATGTCTTCCAATCTAGCTATAGGGGTAAAAGTCTCCTCAAAATCTATCCCTTCTATTTGGTTATACCCCTTAGTCACTAATCTTGTTTTATTCCTAACCACCACTCCATAATCATTCACCTTGTTCTTAAAGACCCACTTGGTTCCAACTACACTTTGTTCCTTAGGTCTTTCTATAAGCTCCCAAACATCATTCCTAACAAATTAGTTTAATTCCTCTTGCATGGCTAAAATCCAAAACTCATCAAAAAGGGCTTGGTTTATGTTGGTGGGTTAAGTTAATGAGGTAAAAGCAGAGTGGTTCACCTCCTTCCTAAGTCCATGTCTAGCCCTAACTCCAATAGAAGGGTCTCCTAAGATCAAATCTTTGGGGCAACTTATAGAGTATCTCCAATCTCTAGGCAAGGTGTGTGAAGGTCCAACCCTTTCCTCCAGATCTACATTTTCTACTCCTTGGGTAACATCTCCTACTCCTTCAGTGTTTTGGTGTTCTACTCCCTTTTCCAAATTTTCTACTCCAGTGGTAATCTCTCCAACAACATCATCATCCTCAACTCCAGGCATTCTAGGATCAAACTCATCAAACACTAATTGTGTAGTTTTTTCCACCATCAAAGTTATCTTGTTAAACAACCTAAAAGACTTCCCAACACAAAAATATCCCAAGAACACTCCTTCATCAGATTTTGGATCAAATTTTCCTAAGTGAGGCTTCCCATTGTTGAGAATGAAAACCTTACAACCAAAGACATGAAGGTGGGAAAGATTGGGTGTCCTACCCTTAAGGATCTCATAGGGTGTCTTATCTAGTTTGGCTCTAACATTCACCCTATTCAACACATAACAAGATGTGTTAACCGCTTCAGCCCAAAAGTATTTTGGAAGTAAATACTTAGCAAGCATGGCTCTAGCAGCTTCCACTAAGGTCCGGTTCTTCCTTTCAGCTACCCCGTTCTGCTGAGGGGTCCTAGGAGCTGAGAAGTTGTGGCTAATCCCCTTGTCCTCACAAAAATTTCTGAACCTTTCATTTTGAAACTCTCCCCCATAGTCACTATAGATGGTCAAGATCTCACAACCTAGCTTTTTCTGAATCCAAGTAAAAAAATGTTCTAAACTCCTCAAAAGACTCATTTTTGTGTGAAAGAAATCTAGTCCAAGTGAACCTCGAGTAGTCATCAATAATTACAAAATCATAGACTTTCCCTCCCAAGCTGGCAGTGCTAATGAGTCCAAACAAATCCATGTGAAGGACTTATAAAGGTTTAGAGGTGCTAATGTCCTTAGAGGGGTGAAAAGAGGAGTGTACTTGCTTTCCTAATTGGCAGGCATCACAAAGGTGATCTTTAGAAAATTTCAGTTTGGGGACACCTCTAACTAGGTCTTTTTGGGTCACTTTCCTAAGGGATTTCATACTAGCATGACATAATCTTCTGTGCCACAACAATGAATCATCAACAACAGTTTTTAAGCCAAAAGGTGCAGCGCATTCAATGTTATTTAAATAAAGCATGTACACGTTGTTGATCCTCTTTTACTACAAAATAGTGTTGTTATTTAAAATTATAATGCATGAATTTGCAAATAATTGTATGAAGAAGCCCTTGTCGTAAAGTTGACTGATGCTGAGCAAGTTGTGTTTTAATCCATCTATAAGCAAAACATTTTCAATCATAAGGTTCTTGGAATTACCAATTATACCTGTACCTACCACCTTCCTGGTGGTTTTGTCTCCAAGAGTAACCTTGCCTCCTATCCTGGTCTCCAGAAAAATGAATAGATTGGCATCGCCAGTCATATGTCGAGAGCATCCACTGTCTAGGTACCACATACTCTCTCGAGGCCTTTTGTGAGAGTTGACCTATAAAATCATCAAATTTCAGATTTAGGAATCCAAGTAGGTTTGGATTCCTTCTTATGAAAGTAGAATGCAATGCATGTGTGTTATGCTGTGACTCATGCAATTTAGGTCTCCACACCTAATGTGTACTATGGTGAATAGTGCAAGTGTGTGAGATGTGTCCTAGCATGCCACATGAAAAGCATCTAACTCCAAGAAAAGGATTTCTTAAATGGTTTGGGTAGTAATGCTTCTTCCTAGGTTTTGGCTTTTGATTAAGTGTAGGTGTCATCCAATTTCTCTTAAGTGCATCGAATTCATTTTTAATCCTTAAGTTAGTATCTTTTAAAGCATCATTATCAATTCTCAAATTTTGCTCTATCTCTTTAGATTTTTTGAAATCAGATTCAAGTGAGGTGTATGAAACTTTCAATGAATCATGTTCTTCAATTAATTTAGAATATTTTTATTTAAATCATCAAATTCATCAAGTAGAGCCATATGATTTGAATCAATTATTAAATGATCTTTAATCAAAATTTCATATTCCTTTTGTAAATTCAAAAGCTCCAATTTCAAAGCAGCATGAGTTTTCTTAAGCTTTCTATATGATGCATGAATTTTTTCAGAAACTTCAAGGAGTTGGTCGTAGGATAGTTCACATACCTCTTCTTGATCAAGATGATCATCTGCCATTAAGCACAGGCTTGTTGTCTCATCTTCAGGTTCAGTCTCAGATGAATTGGATGCAGAGTCCGCCCAGAATGCCTTTTGAAATTTCTTTTTGTCCTTCCTAGACTTGGGTTTCTCCTCACCCTTTTCTTTGCTTGAGTGAGCCTTGAGTATAGGGCAGTCAACTTTCACATGTCCAGATTTCCTGCATTCAAAATAAACCATGTCATTAGAGCTCTTAAAATTTTTGTTTCCCTTTGTTCCTCTTTTGATGATACTTTTGTTTCTTCCTTAGAAAGCTTTTGAATTGCCTTATGATTAAGGCAAATTCATCGCTTTCAGACCCGGAAGAGTCGGAGCTCGTGTCGTTGGCCTTCAATGCCACAACTTTCTCCTTTCTTTTCTCACCTGCATCCAAATTTCTTTGGTTCACTCCTTGCTTGTAAGCAATGAGTGAGCCAAGTAAGTTGTCAATTGAATAAGTACTCAAATCTTTAGATTTAGTAATGGCGGTTTTTTTAGTATCAAAAGAGGAAGGCAAGCATCTCAAAATTTTGTTCACTTTTGTATAATTTGAAACTTCTCTTCCTAAGGCATGCAAAGAAGTTACAATCTGAGTAAACCTTGTATAATTATCAGAAATTGATTCAGAAGGTTTCATATGAAAAAGTTCATAATGATGCAAGAGAATATTCAAACGAGATTGCTTAACTTCATTGGTTCCTTCATAAGTAATGCACAACCTATCCCAAATCTTTTTTCCAGTAGAGAAAGTAGAAACACGCATGTAGTCTTCAGATTTTAAAGCACAGAAAAAATAATTCAAACACTTTGCATTAAGTTGAGCTAAATCTCTTTCATCAAAAGTTCATTCAATAAAAGGCACTTCAGTTTTAATTCCATTAAGTTCACGAGAAGGTGGAGAATGTCCTTCTTTAATAAGCATCCACATGAGATAATCAGCTGATTGTAAAAAAGTAGACATGCGAGTTTTCCCGGAGAAGCCCTTACAAAAACCTCCTTCTTGCCATCTCGGCAAGACAGAGAACCCAACTCCTTTTGCTTCCTCCTGAAACAGGCAGAGAACCCCTATCAATAGCTAAAGCGTACCTCTCCCAACCCTTCTAAGTATAAGAGACTCTACTGGAAGAATAAGTGGAATAATGCTTGGAGAAACCCTTGTGAATCTCCCTCAAAAGCTCCCCCTCATAAAATCCTCTCTCTCTCTCTCTCTCGTCTAGGCTTTCTTAGGTCAAGACAGCAGCAAAAGATTGTTCAAAATATAGAACAATAGCCCTTAAATAGAAGAGCTTCAAAATAGCTCATTAATTGTAAGTTGTCGACATTATCATCCAGAACAATATTAATATCGTCATGTACGATCAGTGCAATTTGAGCCTAATCAGTTGTGATGATCTTGGATGAATAGAAGAAAAGTGTTCCTATCATCCAAGACTATTATAAATCATCATGTACGATTAGTTTAAATCACATATTATCGTCCAGACAATCACTCTAGAAAGAGTTCTGGACAATTCCAAAATAGCTTGATCGTCCTGGCCGATCTTACGATTGTCCTGGACGATTAGTTCAAATTAGAGGAAAATCGTCCAGAGCATCGCCCAAAATTTGAGCTGCCCGATCCTGATCAGCCAGACCATCGCCCGGAATGTGAGCTGTCCGATATTGATCGTGCAGGAGTAACTAAGGTTTTTGAACTGATCGTCTCGGCCGATCTTGAGATCGTTTAGGACAATGTGATCGTATCAATCATCTTAATTGCTTTCCTTATGCCTTATTAATTTAGGCATAATTGTATCAAATCATCCAGGCTGATACATGCTTGTCATGGTTGATATCCAAAAATTAAGAATGCCAAAATAGATCACGGCGGATGATTCTTTTTGTTTTGAGTTTATCGTCCAGGCCGATCGACTAATGACGACTGCCTTAACACTATGTCTTGATTAGGATTTATGTTTTGAACCCGATCGTCCAGTTTGATATAAATATCATCCGGGATGATGTGAGTAAAAATAAAAATTCTAAATTAGATAGAAAAATTACTCAAGTGTGTGTGTGTGTAGGGTTACTTAACATCAGAACACTTCAATTGCTACAATTGACTCAAGAAAGGGAAAAAGAAAATTACAGACTGACTCAGACCTAGTCTACCCAAACTTGAGCTGGTTCCAATTTCGTCCGATCTTGTGGCCCTGAAATGTCAGTAGTAAAGGCAGTAGTAGAGAAACAAGAGTGTTTGCTAATCATCAAAATATATTCCATGAAAACAGATTTGCAACAGGAGTATTAATTGGCTTGGCTTTATCCTTTTCATACTTCTTCAAAATGTCCTTTATATATTTTGATTGATTTAGAAAGGTTCCATCATCTAATTATCTTATGTTAAACCCCAAAAAGTATGGCAACTCTGCTATCATACTCATCTCAAACTCTCTACTCATTATTTTAGAAAATTCATCACATAATCTCTTATCATAAGATCCAAAAAGTATATCATCGACATAGATTTGAACAATGAGTAAATCATCTCCTACTTTTCTCAGAAAAAGGGTTGTGTCTATGCTCCCCTTAACGAACTACCTTTCCAGTAAGAATGTGCTAAGCCTCTCATACCAATATCTGGGTGCCTGCTTTAATCCATATAAGGCCTTTTTTAATTTGAAAACATGATTTGGAAATTTCAAAACCTGAGGGTTATTCTACAAACATATCCTTTTTTATTACCCCATTTAAAAAGAAACTCTTAATGTCTATTTGAAAAAGCTTAAATCCCTTATAAGAGATAAAGGCTAATAGCACTCTAATGGCTTATAATCTAGCTACAGGGGCAAAAGTCTCCTCAAAATCTATCCCTTCTATTTGGTTATACCCCTTAGCCACTAATCTTGCCTTATTCCTAACCACCACTCAAGAATCATTCACTTTATTCTTAAAGACCCACTTGGTTCCAACTACACTTTGTTCCTTAGGTCTTTCTACAAGCTCCCAAACATCATTCCTAACAAATTGGTTCAACTCCTCCTACATAGCTAAGATCCAAAACTCATTAGAAAGGGCTTAGTTTATATTGGTGGGTTTAATCATTGAGATAAAGGCATAGTGATTCACTTCTTTCCTAAGTCCATGTCTAGTCCTAACTCCATCAGAAGGGTCTCCTAAGATCAAATCTTCAGGGTAGCTCGAAGAGTATCTCCAATCTCTAGGCAAAGTGTGTGAAGGTTCAACCCTTTCCTCCAGATCTGCATTTTCTACTCCTTGGATAACGTCTCCTACTCCTTCAGTGTTTTGGTGCTCTACCCTCTTCTCTAAATTTTTTACTCTAGTGGTAATCTCTCCAAAATCATCATCATCCTCAACTCTAGGCTTTATAGGATCAAACTCATCAAATACTACATGAGTAGTTTCCTCTGAAATTACTAGATGGACAAGAGGGGTGGTGAATTGTGAAAATTTTAATGCAATAATTAAAACCTAAGTAGGAGTTTTAATTTTTTTGATGTTTTTAATTTTTTAACAAGAAAATTTAAACTACTATGAAGGCAAACAATTGTTCTCAACGTGCAGCAATAGAATTCTTTTTCTTTCACAAGTTTTCACCAAGCAAGGATTATGAAAATAAAATGCAAGCAAGAATAAAACAATGATAAGGAAAAAACACACCGAAATTTTTATAGTGGTTCGGTCAAACCATGACCTACATCCACTCCCCGGAGTCCTCTGCTCTGGGAATTTCACTACAAACTATAACTCTCTTTTCGCCCCCTCGGCAAGGCGGAGAAGCCCTTACAATACTCCCTTTCACCAACAAGGCATGGCGGAGTGCCAAGCATTGTTTTCACCCTCCTGGTGATGGCAGAGAACCTTCTCATTTTTCTCCCTCCTAGAGAAGGCAGAGTACCTTGAGGTCACGGATGTAGAAGAGTCTCCCCTTAGAGAGCCTCCCTCAAGTTCTTCCCGGGCCACAGGAGGAGCAAGATGCAGCAAGATCGGAGCAACCATATGATCTCCATCACACCTCTTCTCCCTCACCAAGCTCACCTTCTTCTTCCTCTCTCAACCCCTCAAAACTTCTCAAGATCTCTCTCCCAAGTATTTCCTCTCTAATTATGTTTTCCTCTTCTTATCTCTCTCTCAAAACATAAAAATTTTGACACATAAAATAGGCTCCAAAATCCCTAAAATTTTCAAAGTTGCTGTTACAATCATACAGTATGATTTATCATCATACAGTACGACATGTATAAAGAGGCTTCATCCTGTTATGAAGTTGTATGAATAGTTCAAAATCTAATCATATGGTATGATTTTAAATCATACAGTACGATCCTCAACACTACTGCTCGTACAGGACGATAGTCGGGATGATCAAATATTGTCTCTGTTCATCGTATGGGATTATACATATAGTATAGTACGAATGGTGAAAATAAAGGCATCGTCCAGGATGAATTCCGGGACGATCAAATATCGTCTCTGTTCATTGTATGGTACAATATATATCGTACAGTACGATGAGACAAAAATAAGGGATTGTCCAAGACGATCTTCGAGACGATCTGAATTCATCTATATTCATCATATTGTACGAATGTGTTCGTACAATATAATTTTCAATTTGTAATTAAGCCTTGATTTCTTGCACTAATCATGGGTTAAATTAAATAAGTATTTTAAATAGATCATATAGTATGAAGGCCTTCATACAGTATGAAAGGCACTGAATAACTTACTTAAGTTAATGTGACGGCTAGGGTTTTGGATTTGAAATACATCGTACAGTATGATAGTAGTCGTACCATATTATTTGTTCACAGAATACGTTTATAATATAATATCATATAGTACGAAATAACTTCATACAGTACGATTAACAGATAATGAAAAATAATATTTTTTACTTTTAAAAACCCTCTCCCCCTGTTTGTGTGCATGATTGCTCAGACTCATCTGTATTTTGTGGCCAGACTCAAGAAAATAAAAAATAAAATAAATAATAAATTACATTATCAGACTCATAATCCTAATCTAACTAGTCTTGAGTCTTCCCATTGTCCTGAGTGGCATGTGATCTTCCTGAAATGTTAGTACTCAAGGACAATAGCAAACAATAAAATATATTAAAGGAACAGTAGTTCAGGCAACAATATTTGCTATCATCAAAATCTCAAACTTGGGGACATG